TCTAGTTGGGATTGGATCCTTTATTAGTTGGTATGGGCACTATTTTCCTATAGTGACTGGGTCTTTGAGTAGTATAAGATTAATGATAGATAGCAGATACAGTAAAGGCTTTATTTTTATTAATGTTTTCATCTGGTTCATTAACTACATTTATGTGATTGGCATCTCTTAAACAGGAGAGAATCTGGGTTGATGTTGCAGCATGATTCATATAAACTTGAGACTGGCTTGAAATGTTACTTGATTTTGCATTTGAGGCTGATTTTGGTTTTGGATTCTTTTTAATATACAATTGCATAAGATATGTCTAGGTTCTCCACAATTGTAACAAGTTAAATAGGCATTGTTATTGCTATGATTACTATGATTAACATGGTTATCTAATTGTTGTTAGCTTAGAGCCTTGCTTCAAAATACATGGCTAATGTGGTTGTTAACTTTTCATACCCAGTGGTTAGTACTTGCATTTGTTGGATTAATCAGTTAACTTCACTATTATATGCTTCATTTCTTTTACCTTTTTTATTGTAATATTCTAGCTTTGATTTTATATGCACCTTGTATTGCAGCATCGAAACTATCAGGGTCTGCAATATCTAACTATGTAGTGATCTTGGCTTTGAGGCCACCTAGAAACGTTCATATAACATACAATCTGACAAGCTGATTTCTAGGATCCACTTTTCACAACTATTTCTTAAACTTCTACAATTATAAATCCACTCGCTCAGACAGCTGCTGTTTCAGTTTATTTAGGTCAACCTGCCACTTGTGCCATTTTTCAGGGATCATGAAATACTGAATGAACAATTGAATAAAACTTTTATTTGAATGGGTTTCTTTATTCCAATATACAAAATTATCTTTTATTTCATCATGCCAACTTGCAGCAATTTCACATAAGTAACCAAAGGCTATCTTTTATCTTGCATTCAGAAGACTAATTATTGGCATTAGCTGCATGATTAAAGGCTTCTATCTACTCAAGAGGGTCTTCTTTTTCATTTCTATAAAAAGTGTTTACACAGACTAAATTGGTTTAATAAACAGAAAGTCTGATAGCAGCAGCAACTTCTATGGTTACTTCTTTAAATCTAGTAGCAATTTCTTGCAAAATTAATTCAAGGATGTTTAGGTCTTGTGCTTGGGTTTGTCTATTATCATTGGCTTGATTGTTTCTATTTGGCAAAGGGCTATTTACAGAGATAGGGTAACTTCCAGAAGGATGGTTGTTGTTGAAGGTCAATAAATTGGCATTATCAAAAATGTTGCAAGAAGTTCTATAATTAT